TAAATTATGGACATCATACAATCCACCTTTCCAATATTCTCTATGACTTCACAGTGTATCATTTGGGCATTTTCCTTTATCTTAGTAACCTGGTAACTATTATTATCTCACACTATCCATATCCTTCTATTATTGGCTGATGCATAATTGTCCATACTGCTCCACCCTGTAGCTATATTATTTATTATAGTTCCTGCTTTGCCTTCTTTTACTCTTGTTTCCACTATACCAGCTATCCCAATATTTTTTGTTTTGAGGAGTTTCTTCAGTTCTTTCTACTTATATCTTTTATTTACTCCTCTTATGTTCTATACTAACCAGTTCATAAGGATCTTCTTCCATTACCTCCTATATCTGGAGGTACTGTGTGTGCTCTTTTCCCCTCTCTACTAAGTATTTGAAAGCCATTCTTCAATGGTACTGATCCCTGCATTGGAAAATGAAGCTCATTGAACTCTGGTATTTCCACCTCTTTCCTTGCATTCCCTGGCATTTGTTCTTCCCTACTTATTGATTTCTGCTTCTCAGCTTCCTTTGACCCTTGTCCTACTTCCATCATTCTTCTGCTATCTTGCTGTTGTATCACTCCTTGCACTGCAGCATTTTCTTGTTCAACCTCTCCCATCTTTCCTTTCCCCTTTGTAACCCATTGTTGAACCACTCTCTTTGGTTTTCTCTATTCATTCTTTGTATTCATTTGAATCTGCCTCCCTCTTTCCTGTTTACAATCATGCCCAATGGTTTGACATTTTTCACAGAATTTTGGTTTCCAGTCATAGATAATGGATTGCAGAAATGTTTTCCCATTTGGATCCTCCACCCTTATCTCTTCTTTTAGAGGCTTTGTCACATCTACCTCAATTAACATTCTAGCATAGGAAACTCTCATTTGTTTGGCAGTACATTCATCAGCATACATAGGAGTACCTATAGAGCTTGCAATCCTACTTAATGAGTTCTTTCCCCAACAGTTCAATGAAAGTTTTGGAAATCTAACCCATAGAGGAATCTCTGTAGGAAATTCCTTCTCAAAATCAAAGTCTGCTGTCCATTGTTTAAGAATCACTGGTCTGTTACTAATAGTATATGGCCCTGCTAATAAGATTTCCTTCATATCTTCCATCGTTTTAAATTTGATTATTTAATAACCATCATCATGCAAGTATAATTCTGGATCTGGAATTGTATTCCATGTATTCTCTATATATCTCTTCATTACATTATACCCAGGTAAATCACCCAGCACATACGCAATCAAAGCCCCTTTCCATTTTTCTGTTTCTCTATCTACTTCCTCCTTCTCTAACCGAACTCTAATTTCACCATCTATCACTTGTGGAGGTATGTAAGTTAGTTTCATACCATTTTCAGCTGCTCTATTCCTCGCAAATAAGCTTGTCCATGCTGGTCTGCTCTCCTCCTCGTCTTCTTCCTTGCTTTCCTCTATCACTGTTACTGTTCCATTGATTTCCTTTTGCGATCTGCTCTCGTTCTTTTTAATTACCTCTTTTTCTACCTCTCGTTCCTTCATAGCCAGCTCAGATCTCAATAGAGATCCTTCTGCTTCTTCGATTTGGCTTCTAGCTCCCAATCCTTTGTTTGCATGTGTCAATTGTGCCTCAGATTCATTATCCTCCTTTGATTCTTCATCATTTTTTTCTTCCAGCTCAAATTGTTGATCTGAATTTCCGTGGTCGGCCTCGTCCTCGTCCTTGGCCACCACCTCTGCCTCTCACTCCTGCCATTTTCACACCGGCGCAGGTTTGTCTAACTTACACCGAGAGCATGAGAGAGAAGGACGTTTTCTTCTTATTATTCTCTCTTTTTTTAATGTATTTTCAATCTTCACTTTTTAATTTTAGCAACATCTAATATTTATATTCGCACCTTTTAATTTTAGCAACATCTAATATTTTATATTTGCACCATTCCTTTTTTGAGATAATTATATATTTTCTGTACAGTTATAACTTATAATAAAATTAACTTACAATTTTACATAAAAATAATAAAGGCACGAAAATTAATTTATCAAAATTATACACCAAAGTTAAGATATAAAATTAATATTATAAAGACATTACATAAATATAATAAGGTATATATAAAGGATAAATTAAAAGATTAAATAATAAAAAAGTGATGAATAGTAATGGGGGAGATGAATAGTGTACCCCCATATTTGAGGGAATACTATTCATCCCCTATTTTGGGGACAAAAATGGGGGAGGGTTAGAGCTAAATTACCTCAAAAATTACTCTCATTATGGGGAATGGGGGTAAGGTTGGAGATGGCCTAAATATCTTGACACTCCTGTTTGGGATTCCTCCAACATTTCAATTTTGATTATTTCAATATTAAAACGTTTCATTTCCTATATGTTTGCCCACTCTACTAAAATAAGGATTTTAAAGATAACGACACATTCAACCTAATACCAACCATATTATTTGCCCACAGGTCAATCTAATCTTGTCTATTAAATTAATGGCGGAAAACTGCAGTTTACAAAATGAACTATTAAGCAATAGTGCAACAATTTTATTATAGAATAAAAACAAAGTATTCATAACTTCATTTGTATATGCCTTAAGATGTCCGATTGCCCTCCTTTCATTTGGTGCAATTGGCAAAATAAGCCGTTTATGATACGATTAGAGGTGGCAAAATGGTTAAAAGAAAACAGTTATCCACTTATATTATCCATAAAAAAATGGGTTGGATAATGAACCATTTAAAAACTGGTCGAATATGGATAAAGAACCATATTATCCACTTAGAAAATGGTTAACCAAAGGATAATTAATGTGTTTAACTTTACATTTGTAAAGCCTCAAATTGGAGTTCCTCAAGTTTGGAAGACAAGGAATTCTCTCATGAATGATCACATTTAAGAAGCCATGGATAATATGGATATCCATATTATCCGCCGGATAAACCCATTTTTTATCCGTCTCAAATACGTGTCGGGTCGGATAATTTATCTGTTTTTTTAAATTATCCGTTTTGACCCACTCATATCCGATCCGACCCGCCCTTTTGCCACCCCTAGATACGAAAATAGGATTGGTTCACATCGGTAGAAATGATCATCTAGCCATTTTAAAGGATCACTATTTAGAAATTAATTAGCGTGTTTTGGATTTCAATTTTCCTGTTTTTTCGGGGACACAAATACCCTGACTTGTCCTGAAATTAAAATTTTTAATTTTGAATTTTCAAAATAAAATAAATAATGACTAATTCATACACAGCAACTCTAAGAACGATTGTTTGTGTACTTCACTTTGGCTTCATAATATATGAAAATTTATATCCTTTGTGTACTCAAACATCTCAAGTGACCCTAATATTCCCAAATTGCACTCCAGAAAATTTTAAGATATGTTAGTATTCATCAATTTTGGTACAGCTAATTAGCTATCCAAATTGAACCAGGGGACATAAAAGTTTGCATATTTGTATAAGATCACAGGAAGATCAAGATAAGCAAGCGTTAATTATCTGTTCTTTTATTTACTACTAATCTTTATATGTGTACAAAACCACTTTTTCCTCTTTGATTGATTATTTTGCCACTACCCCTTTTTCATCCTTGACTATTTTTTGGTACGAAAAGTATTTCTAAATGAAAGAAGAAACGTGTCAACGTGACACCTCCATTACTTATCAAGTGTTTAATTTTGGAAATTAATTGGTTGAAACTTGGTATTATTTCTATTTCAACCAAATTTTCGTTTAACCAAAATCTCCTTGTATAATATCCGGATTTAAAATTATGAGGTTTTCGGTTCAAACTTCAACAGAAATAAAAATATTTAGCAATTTCTTTTCATATATAAAAAATCTTGATGGATAAAATTACTTAATACTTCTATATATAAACTAACTCGAACATCACAATTATTAAAAAACATAATGGAATCCCTACTTAGTTAATTATCATGTGTCTCGAGTGGGAAGAAGTGGCAAAGCCACATGGTCACGAGGGTGGTCAACTGACCACCATTTTTAGAAAATTGCAGTGTGTATATAGGCAAAGTATTACGTTTTCGAGGTATATAACATATATTTATCGCCCTTTGTCGGAAATTTTTTTTTCACTTCTTACAAATTTGGATACTCTGGGAAAATTCATAACTTCGCCACTGATAAGAAGGAGTTGGCTACTTACACGGCAAATGTTATTGCCTTCTACCTTTTTTTTTTTTTTTTGATTTGATAAAGATGCATAATGAATATGGGTCCATGAATGGTAATGAGAAATAATATCTTTTTCTAGCATGTGGAAAAAGAACATCAATAATATTTGGAAGTCCCCTTCTTTACATAATTCATCATCAACAGATGGACTAATGAAAAATAAGCAGTCTCTATCTATGATGTAGTAGTACCCACGAGCTTTTATCTTCCTATAATATAAAATATAAAATCAAATCTCTCTATAATGGTCTTGTTTGTACTGATAGTTTTAAATTACTATAGCAAAGTACTGTTATAAAAAAAAATATATTTTAACATAACATATAACAAATTAAATTCAAAGAAAATTTAGCTGTTATAGTAAAATGCGCAATTATAGATAGTAATTATTATAAGTAAATTGGAATGTATGTATCCCCAAAAAAGGGCAAGAAAAAGAGGAAAATTTTACTTTATTTACTTATTCTTGAATCATAAGTCTTTTTTTCTGGTCCGAAAAATTACAAGTCTAGAGAACCAGCTTCCAAGCTTTCAATGGATGATTTTTTAAGATTGTATCTGAATCCGTTATCGCGTACTTTAACTATTTTATTGAATATCTCCTAGATTAATTTTATTTGTCAAAATTAAACAGATAAAAATAATCATCTCGCATTTTTCGCTATGTTGGTACGTATTTGACACTTGAAATACACCTTGCCAAGAATGTAATCGCTACCACCGATGAAATTCTACTAGTGAAAGAGAGACTCCATTCATGCACAAACATGAAAGAAAATAAAATAGCAATAAAAAGTAGATATGAACCCATAACTTTAAAATTTTAATTGGTTCAATGCAATAAACAATAAATATTAAACCCATAAAATTAAAATCCTGAATCCGCCTCTGTCTACCACTATCCACCCCAATTAGCAGATAAGAATATAAGAAAGAACGAGCTGGTTTTCCATTTTCACGCTACGAGCAGGGGCGAAGCTTTGACCCAAGGGTGGTCAACTGAACACTCTTCGCGAAATAATTATACTACGTATAAGGTAAAATATTACATGTTATTGATTAAAAAATAAATTTTAAACACCCTTGATCAAAATTTGAATACCCTTATTGAATTTTCTAGTTTCGCCACTGATTACGAGACACCATGGTAATTATCCCTTTTCATTATAATGTAGTAGGGTTTTAAAACAATAGTGTTGTCCACTCCAGCTTTTTTGAGCATCGACAATTTCATCGGATATCTGCTAGTTTACACCAACATAAGTATCAAGTAGCAATTTAAACAGACGGAAAGAAACCTCTATTATTTTTCATTTCTGCTTTACTAATTAAACAGAAAATTAACTGGACGTTTGGACATAAGAATTGTGAAATTTTGGAAAAAAGTGAAAAAAATTCAAGTGAAAAATAGTATTTGAAAATTAGAGTTGTGTTTGGACATAAATACAATTTGAGGCTGTTTTTAAACTTTTGTGAGTGAGTTGAAATGAAAATTTTGAAAACAGTTTTTTAAGTTTTTCAAATTTTCGAAAAATTCCGAGATTCAACTTCAAGTGAAATCTGAAAATTTCATGGTCAAACAATGAATCCGAAAAAAATAAAAAAGATTTCCATAAAAAGTAAAATATTTCTTATGGCCAAACGGCCCTAAGTTTTGATGTAAACATTGCGTAGTTAGCTATACAGTGTTCATATATAAGACAGAATACATTTTCCCACTCAAAATATCAACCCAAAAATTAATGATGTCCAGTAGCAAATGAAAGCTAGCATTTGGCCATAGATCCCAAATTTTTATTTTGAAAAATCTGATTTGGGTGAAGTTTGGTTTGAAGATGAAAATGTGTTTGGACATACGTTTTCAAAACATATTTTCCAACTTTATTTTGGAAAAACATGTATATAATTTCCAAGTTTTGAAATTTTGGCCCAAAATCAGCTATTGAGCTGATTTTGGGATTTGGAATTTGCCCAAATATGAACAAAATTTATGGCCAAACATGAATTTTGAAAATAAACCCCAAATTTATTTTGAAAAAACTCATGGCCAAACGGGGCCAAAATCATTTCAAGCTATAGATGACTTGCAATCTAATTCCTTCAAGGACACATGTTCAGACACAAGAACATCATTAGTCTAGACCAGATACCTTTATCTCCAAATAAAACTTATTGGACAATTCCAGCAAGATTTCAAATATTCTACAAATATAAATTTAGAATTTATTTTTAAAACTCATGTTTGGTCATAAATTTTGCCCATATTTTGGCCAAATCCCAGATCTCAAATCTCAAATCCCAAAATCCCAAAACTTGGGAATTATATACATGTTTTTCCAAAATGAAGTTGGAAAATATGTTTTGAAAAGGTATGTCCAAACACATTTTCATCTTCAAACCAAACTTCACCCAAATCAGATTTTTCAAAACAAATTTGGGATCTATGGTCAAACGCTAGCAAAAACTCTAGCATAATATATTAGAGTCCGTGAAATCCAACGTGCACGGTACTGGACTATAGAGCTTCTAAAGGTAAAATTTCGGTATAATGTACTGGAAATATTAATAGGGTCAAAATTCAATAATGATACCTTATTTTGAACCATAACACAATCATGGTTGAAACTCTAGGATATTTTATGGTTGATGAAACCATAACACAACCATAACACAATCGTGGTTGAACCATAACCTTATTTTAATAGATTCTACAAGTTGAAACTCTAGGATATTATCTTTGAGCTAAAAAGAGGTACATAGTACTTTTACGTTCAAACCGCAACAACAATTACTAGGATTCAAACCCCAGCAACAATTATTGGGGTTTGTTCAAACCATTATAGTTTCAAACCCCAAAACTCCAATAATGATTACTGGGGTTTGAATTCTTTTACCTTGTTTTAGATACTTTGTTTTGAGCTCCACGACTCATTCCTGGATTTACACTAACAAAGGTTCAAAATCAAGGAAAAAAAAAGGCTCAAAATCAAGAATCATTCATGGGGTGTCAAACTCCAGTATATGGATTATCGGAATTGTGTTCCTTGTTTTAATTCCCCACAGTGTGGGATATTACTCGGTATATTATTATTGTTGTTGTTGTGTTCCTTGATTTAGTTGGGGGAAAAATGTCAACTTAGTCAGACCGGTGGCTACGTTGCCTATGCATTTGGCCAAGCTCTAATAGCAGGGCCTAAAAGTGGCTACGCCAACCAAATTTTACAATTTTTATGGGACTAAGGTAGGTGTTGATTGGGCTTTAGTTGTGATGTTTAAGCCCAGGCCCATTAGTACTCATGCAGTGGGTTATCTCTCTTGGACAACCCACTGCATGAGTACACATAATTGCTGATTTGCTAATTGCAGTGGGTTTTTCATCAAGATTGCTTCCAACCTTAACTGTATATCTTTGCTGATTTGTCATGGTCAACAATAGGAAATAGCATGTGAAGATCTATCTTTCACTACATAAAGATTCCTTTTAGCTAATGTTTAGCAAAAAAAGAAGAAAAGATAATGATAAGAGCAAATAAAAAGAAAGATAGTTGAATCAAGAAAATATAATAGAGTTGAATGTGGCTTCATGTTATTACTTGGTATTTAATAGTATAAATTTTATTATTTGGTGAGAAAAAAGTGGAAATATAATGTTGAAAGTAATGAAGATATCATATCAAGCAAGGATCAAAATACTAGATTTTTAATTTAGCTCATTATTAACAGACTAATATCAAAATTGTGAAGCAAAGGTTTAGTAAAACATTCTCTATCCACCTTCTAGCTCATTGAGAAAGAAAAATATATTGGCAGAAATAATATATTTGGGTTCCATATGTTCCCTTAATTAGAAGTCAAATAGTTATGATCAAGTTGTTGATATGAAAAAAAGCTTAACTTGCAAATGGCTCCATGTGAGCTATATAAATTTTAGCTATCATGTAACATTATCAACAAATAATAAACTTTGAAGCATCTTATTAAAATAGCTCTCAGACAAATGTTATAATGGTTGATCAGTCTGAGATTCTTCTTTCAATATGCGTGGTGAAAGAATGCAAGTAAAATGAGAGAAACAGAGAGGGTTCTACGATTTGAGAGGGATAACATCTTCAGTGGTTGAGCATTAGCAAAAGAGTCTCATTTGCAGCAATCGAAACAGATTACAGATGAAAAATCTACATACTGACAAATAAAAGAGAATTTGATGAACATACCTCGAGCCATTGCTCCCAAGGACATGTAGCGAGACAGTTGTTGCCTGGCCTTTACCTTTGCGGCCTAACCACAAAAGTATGTCCAAGCCTGAATGACATTCCATCTATTCCACCACCAATAGCAAAAAGACATGCAGCGAGACAGATGTTGCTTCGGCTTTATCTTTGGGGCTGAACCATAATAAGTCAGTGCAAACCTGAATAGCAAATAACGTCGCTTATGAGTATCAGAAAAGTGGGTACAGTTACTTCATACATATACAGGTAGCGTGGAATAGTCAGTTACCCTGGCCTGTACACCACCTTAATTGAGAGCGAGAGAAGGGTTTGATGCAGATATATTACGACCTATAACGTTAATATTTTATAAATCCTAACCATATTACGGAAAAAGAAAGATATGCTTAATGATATTAAAGATTCTAGGTTACATGAGAAACCAAACAAGCTAACAAAGAGACTACATATGTGTAAGTGATATATCACACACTCTGCTTACAATATTGAGGAGAAGTAACTGGAGATACACTAATACCCCCAAATTTAAGCAAAGGACAACGAAAGGAAAAACTATTTTCATTTGACATATAAAATATAAAGAGCAAAAGTGGAATATATTATAAAAGACTATGCTGCAAAGCATACATGAATATATTATGAATGCATTAAAAAACACAATATAATATCAAACTCTACTGTACTCTAGTCAACATTCCTTGCCGCATGCAACCAACTGTTTCTCCACCTTTTCATGAATACGTCTCCAACTAAAAGCTTCCTCTTTAACCTTGTAAATATAGACCTCTACTTGCTCAAGCAAATATGATAAATCAACTGCCCCTACAGATGATAGTATCACCACTTAAGAGATACAACAAACATTTAAGCATATTAAAAACTAAATAGATTCTACTTTGAAATCAATTTCTTTAGATTTATAAATAATTCATAAGTTATTGCAGCCATAATAGAAAAGGTATCTAGGTATAATGATATTGTCTGACTTAAGACAGAAATTATTACTACATTATATTGTTTTAACAGAAAAATTCAATAATCAAATGAGCCTTCCATAGTTTTCCTCCAAATCTAGCACAGTATTGAAACAAACAGAAAGATTAAAAGAATAAATGTTCAGTTTCAATTAGAGCTATGATCACGCCCAACTATGCCTTATAAAAAGGACAATGCGGTCGTTGCAAATATAATCCGGTTTATAAGTCCGGAGTCGAATCCCACAGAGAACTAAGGTTTAGCTACAACTGTACACTATCACCAAGAAGACAAGCTTGAACAATTCCTAACTTATAGATATTAAGATTCTTGTGTTTAACTAATTAACTAACAAATTAAAATAGTAAATTAACAACTAACGATACTGAGGGTTATAGAAAAGATTAAGGAGGTCTAGAGTTATGATTTCCCCTATTGTCGGAATCCTTCCCGCTATGTCTTCAATAATTTCGCCTAAGTATTCTCTACCGATCATGAGCACTCTTATTGTCGTAAATCTCTCCCGAGTAATTACGACAATTTACTAGACGCACTCTCCCGAGCTACGCTAGCTGGCTTTTAATATAGCTCACTTCAGATCGCACCCAAGGCTTCGTTATCTCTAATCCCGCCTTTAAACCCTCGGTTATTGATCCCTCATATACTCTGGGAGTGGTGTTGTTCAACAATTACCTAAATATGCACTCTCTCCCGAGTTATGCATACTAAATAGGCACAGCTAATTGAGAGCTCTTCAATCAACCACAATATAAACATAGTTGAACAAATAGAGAAAAGCTATGGCTCAATTATATAAAAACATAACAAGAATTTATCCTACAAAAGGTTCTATCAAACTCTATATAACAAATTAGCTATTCATAATAGTATGTAAAACTACAATACTAAAAGTCATAACCAACAATGAAAAATAGGAAGAGGAAGGAAAAACTTGTAGAAGAATTCTCCGCCTTGCTCCAATGTGTTCTTGCCTCCTTAGGTCGAATCTATGTCCAAAATATGTCCCCTGTTCTTGGCCGGCCTCCTTTGTTTAATATAGGGTTTAGGACTTAAAATCCCATGTTTTGCACTTTAGTCCCTGAAATTTTCGCTTCCTGCCGCGGTTTTGCCGCGGTCGCGGTGGAACCGCGGCCAAATATGCCCTCTGATTCTTCAGTTGTTCGCGACCATCTTCTACCGCGGTTCTGCCGCGGTCGCGGAAAAACTGCGGTTTTTCACCCTGTTCCGTTTGGAATTTGGAAAAACGTAAAACATGAAAGTCGTTGCCCTTTGAGTAATCTTTCCAACCATATATTGTGGAGCCTAAATGGAGTTCTGAGCAAAAAGTTATGTCTATTTTACTAGACAATGCGCAATATGCCTCCTCAAGTCTTCGTTCGTACTTAATTATCAAATTTGACCCCCGAACACGATCCCGGCTTAATTCCTTGAGCTTTTACTCAGACTTCAAAACTTCAAATCACTTAAATTCATTCCATAACATCTATATAGCTCGGAATCACACCTACAAGGCATAAAACACACAATTAGTGCAAAACACTAGCGATTAAAGCGCAAACTCAATTAAAGTGCAGTAAATTAGAGTGTAATAAGCGACTAAAATATGCAATTATAGCCTATCATCAGTCATGCATATTGATAAGATTATCCCACGTATGGTTTCTTCACTAATATTAGTGCTAGCATAAATAGAAGTAAATAACCAAGTAAAGTGAGTGGGGATCACCTCAATAGTTGCACTTATTTCTTGGTTTCTTCTAACAAAACTATAAACATTAACAACAGTGTGATTCCAAAGAATCACCATCCCCCCTGATTGAGCATTAGCCGGAATCTCGATCATGCCAGAGAAGCCAAATAATTTAGGAGAGGCATATGATTATCCGTTCTTATTTCCAAGAGAGTGACCATGCTAGGGTGATGAGTGTCAATCGTTTCCCTAAAGTGAAGCCTGAAGGTGTCACTGTTCCCCCCACGAACATTCTAGATAATGAAAGAAATGGGCCTATTAATGTTTATATTCCAATTGTGAAGGTCTCCATTCTCTAGTACTCTTGGTGCATGTACAAGATTTCTCCTCTGGAAAGTTAGTAGCATCATTCCATATTGCCCTACTGTTGGATCGGTTGGTGGTCTTATGTCCATCGTGCACTTGTAGAGTGCCAGTGGACATTTGAGAATTTGCCTCTTTTCGTGCCTCTCCATGAAGATAAACACTTTTACGTCTTCTAGATTTGAATCTTTCATTATTAATTCTGGGATTAAGTTGATAGGTTCCACTGCTTTTTCCATCATATCCTCTTGGAGTGGAATATTTGGTTGTACATGGGACTGTGGAGTTGGTTGATGATGAGTTTGAGTTGCATTTTGGACATTGACAGTTGGAGCTTGAGTTGCATGCGTGTTCCATGGCGTGAAGATTGGATTGATGTTGGTGGCTATTTCCGGAGTGAAGAACGGGAGGTTCATCACTGGTTGAGCTGTTTGGAGTGGGACAAAGTGGGGTGGCATGAGCCATTCTCCCATCATCATTTGGGTTGCATTTGGAGGTAGATTTGGTGCAATTGGTTGGAGAATATTGTTCAGCCTTATGTGGTTCAGATAATTGTTCATTGATAGACGGATTCCCTCCTAAATTAGTTGAGCAAGATAATGTGAGTTGTGGAGGACAATCACAGTTTCTCTCTCATTCAACATGATGTCGAAGGAGAGGGCATGACCCGTTAAGCCTAGCTCCACCCAGGATTGAGGTTGGTAGTTCTCCGACATCGGTGGTTGGATGAATATTGTTGGGGGCTCGTTTGTTAGTTGATTGGGTGGTGTTAGGTTTGCCATGTTTTGATTGAGACGGAGAATTTGTATAAGTCTGAAACGCCTCCTGTTGGATATTGGTAATCTTGGCCTTTTTGATGAATGAGGAGGGTTTTTAGAGGAGATCTTTGATTCTTGGAAAGTCACAGAATCGGCTTCAATGATTGTGATATCCTTTTGCATGTCCTTTGTTTGGGGTAGCGTAAGAGATTTATTTAGGGAGGGAATGGATTGGTTTTGAGGTACGTGCTCCATGGCATTGGCCATTTGGAACACAAGTAATTCTTGCACTGATAGGTAGGCATTATTACTTAGGTCATGCAGTGTATTATCATTGTTATTAGAAGACCGGGGTAGGGGGTTAGTGGGGGAAGGGGGGTTGTTTCCGTTATTAGTATTATGGTGGTAGTGGTCGGGGGGGGGGGGGTCCCTAATAGCTGACATGTTCTATTTTTTTTTTGTTGAGTTGTCATTGTAGTGATTTTTATTAAGAATATTGCTATTAAAATTATTAATATTATTATTATTAGTAGTAGTAATAGAATTATTGATATTATTATTAATTAAATTATTTTGTAATTCAGTAGTGTGGTTTTTGGTATCATCCAAAACCATGTTCTGAGTATATAGAGAAGAAAACTGTTTTTTTTGAGTTGATATTCATTTCGGATGTCGATTGATATCCAGAGTATGGTTTGAAACCAATTTTCCTGTCTCCCAAAACACCTTGATTGAACCTTGCTTTGTAATTAAAGGTCTGAGATGTAAGAAACTTATCTGTGGAGGCATAAAAAATATTAACATTTATACCTGTCTTTGAGAGAGCTTCCTTTCTTTGATTCTGCGTGATTTTTTTGTACCTTTTCTGAATGTTACTGTTTGTCACTCCTCCTTTGATATGTGTTGATCCTCTTGTATAGCTTTGTGTTGATCTTCTTGCATGGAGCTGCTTTAGCCTTCCTTTTCTGCTTCTTTTTCTTTTGTTATTAAGGAGTTTGGTTGGATCTTTATTTTTGCACATTGGCCAGTGGAATGGCCAAAAAACCACAGTTTAGGCATAGGAGTTTGTCACAGTCATATAGGATCTGTTGTTTGTGTGAGCCAATCCATACATTTGATTTAACTTGTTTATTTAGTGGTAGTTCTACACAGATTCTAGCATATCGTCCACGAAGAGATGCCGATTTGCATGCATCTACCTTGAGGAGTCTTCCTATTGTGTTTTCCACTTTGTTTTGAATTTTTTCATCATAGAACTCTGCGGGTAGTTCTGATAATCGTATCTAGATTGCAGGGAATGTTTGTTTGGATCTTGATGGCACAAAATTAGGTTCCCAACATTGTACCGATAAAAAGTTACCAAATATAAACCAGGGACCTTTTTGTAAAGCAATTTCCATGTTCTCCTCGTTGTTGAACTTCATTGTATAGTAGTCCTCTCCCAAATCAATGAGGGGAAAGGCCTCTGAAGGCTTTCATAGGTTTATTAATTTGCGTTTGTGAGCTCGGTGGAGGATTTTTTTCCTGGAAGTTTAATAATAACAGAGAATCTCCAGGGATAATAGATTCGTTGTTGGTCTTCCCCAGTAATTCGTACTAAGTATTCGGTTTCCTGATCTTTGGATGTCTTTTCCCCTTCTACCTCGATGGAGTGAATTTTCATAGGCAATAAATATGAAGGGTGGGGATAAAGAATAACTTCTTTCATGATCATTGGCCAGGAGTTTTTCCTTGAAGGAGATGAGATCATTCGATTGGAGGGGATTAATGTCAGGTGGTTTTGGGGATGGTTCCACTTGAACAGTGTGATTTTCCATTATAGTTTCGGTGTGACTAATTTAATGACCGGATGGAATAGGATTGTAGTAGAATTTTACGGAGTTTTTCTTTAGATGGTTAGAGAGAAGTTGGAGCTCCCTTTTTTAATTAAGATCATATTCGGCTTGAGTCACAGTCAACTAGACTAAAATTTTATTTGAGGTTATACTGTTATACAATATAAATATTTATTTGAACAATACAACCACCAAGCCTGATTACCACAATTTTACCAAATTCAACTTCTATTTATAATTAAACCGATTTTCTTCATTATTATTGGCGCTTTTGCTATTTAACTGAAAGCCTAATTTTTATCTAATTACTAAGTTTTAATCAATTATCAGTACTCCAATATTTAACTTAGACAATCAAAAGGATAATGATCCCATTTTTACCTCAATTTGATAGTCTTTTGTCCATATTTCATTAGAGGAGAAGGGGAAGAAGAAGGGGAAGGGGGACAACCATTAAACTCACATATATTATATGATGGACTCCTACTTACATACTATTCCCTCCGTTTCATATTAACAGTCGTGGTTACTAAAAATGGTTGTCTCAAATTATTTGTTATTTTAGAAGTTTAAGACAAAACTGATTATTTTTTTTCTTTTTTATCCTCAATAATTGTTGTTGAAGATAGAGATAATACATAAATGGAATAAATATTCAATGAAGAGAGATTATATCTTATGACATAATAAAAGGTAGAATAGTCCAGTCCCTTTCCTAATTAGTATTTCTTAAGGGGCGTGTAACAGAGAAACACGATACAATGAGAGCATTTAGTTTCTTTAGTTGGATAGTTTTTTAGGAGAACATTTATTTATTTTTTTCCGAAAATGTATATGTTTACGTTGCGGTTTTAATTTATTGAAACGAGTAATTTTTTAAATTTTTATTGAAACGAGTAATTTTTCTTATGTGTACTCATATTAATTGTTTTTATTGGAACGAGTAAAACTTCTTTCACGTACAAAATATTTTATGTTGCTGCTTCATAAAACGCATTGACATATTTATTGAGAGAATGATAACATTTTAAAAAGAATCTAGAAGCATATGGGATAAACGTATTAGAATCAGATGGGATTAATAATAAGACACAATCATCTATTTGTATCCAATTCTCAAACTTGGCTTTAGTGAAAAAAATTTGTAAATACTTTCTCGCAACAATATTTATATCAAGGTACTTAATGTATTATATGTGTTTATACATATACTTTTCAGTTTATACATCATCATTGTTTAACCATAATAAATTAGCATTATTTAGCGTAAAATGCCGATAGAAACCAAAAACAACTAAAGATTTTGATCTATTGATATCCATCGAATTCTTTCACTGAATTCTTACTGTCCTTTTCTTTTGGTTTCTCCTTATGCACCAGAGATTCGAAAATATTTGACTAGTTATTATTCCCAAACAATTTTTTTAATTATAATTGAAAGAAGATAATATTAAAAAATATTTAGTTATACATGGGGGTCATGAATTTCACTGAAAACCTTTTTCAAACAAATTTCTCAATACTTAATTAGTAATTCGCTACAAATTGATAAATCAAATAAATATTTATAAATCCTAGATATTAATATTTGTTAATATGAAAATATTGTTTATGGGCAAATAAGTATTATGAATTTATGAGGTGGCATGGTTCCACCTCCAACTTATATGACCCGTAGCGAATCACTACCTTAACGAGACCTACCCTGTTAAGTTCTCCGTTTCAAGATTAACCAACAGAAGATTACCACGTGTCCCGTCAATGCAACGACCTCGTTTCGCCACCGCATGATCTAAGCACCGCCTACGTGATCTTATAGCAATTGCAACGTGTCCATAATGTAACCGGCAACAACCGGTTTTGTAGGGTTAACCAACAGGTCCAGCCGGTCAGTTTCCCGCTAGGTATAAAAATCGCGATCGAAGTTTCCTCCGATTAATTAGTCCCTAAAATCTCTCTCTATCCGGTTTTAGCTCTTGCAAGGTTCGTAGCTCTTCTTTTCCAGTGTAGTTTTTTCGTATCTGTTTCCATTTTTTATTTTTCCTGAAACAATTAGGTAGCTTTAAACTTTTTGGTTGTAATTGCTTTTATCTTAATACAATGAGCTGTCAATATAGATTTTGTCGAATTTTGTCTGTTTGTTTCTTGATCTTTTGATATAATTTACAAGTGGGGTGAAACTAAAGCTAATCAGAATATGGATTAGTGTTATAGAGATGGTTTTCTTTAGAATTTGCTTAAGATTCGAGTAATTTTTTTTTTACTATTGTACCAAATTTTGGGTAGTGGGTGCATGCAAAAAATGTCTAATTTTGGGAGTTTGTTTGATCTTACTTTTAATTAACCTTTTTCTATGTTCTGGAGTTTCTAAGTTAAGATTATCTGGGTTCAAGCCAGGAAAAGTTCTTTTTTCTTTTAGCTGTTTGTGAGATTAGGGTTTTGTGGATGCATAAATTACGCGGGTTCTTAATATGTAATTCTTGTTGACCTTTTTTCTTCTTCTAATGATGAGTATGTAAAAATGTTGTTACTATACAGGACAAAAAGATCTGATGCTGCATTTTGTTGGTGAAGATAGTAATTTATTCGGATAATTTGATGTTTCTAGATTGTTTTGATGAAATTTTGAAGGTTACATCAGAAGTTCTAAACTTAAATCTGCACTGTAGAGCCTGAAAAAAAAGAGGGTAAGCACTGGAAAGGTATTTGGATTCCAGCCACCAGGGGATTGTGCCTCCAATGGCGCCTTCTCGGGTGGCTGGAGGGATGGCACATTCTTCTTCAAGTTCTGGTATCTTTTTCCAAGGAGATGGGCAGTCTCAAGTTGCCGGAAATTCTCACTTGACTTCATCTTTTGGGAATTCATCGAATTCACTACCTGGAAATCCACGGTCAAGTTTGGGTCCTCTATCTGCGGATGTTAGTAATACAGTTCTGAATAGTGTAGCAAGCTCAGGTCCTAGTGTTGGGGCAAGTTCATTGGTTACGGATGCCAATTCAGGACTTTCAGGGGGTCCCAATCTTCAGAGAAGTGCCAGCATTAATAATGAATCCTACATGCGGTTGCCTGCATCACCTTTGTCATTTTCTTCTAATAACATAAGTGTGTCTGGTTCATCAGTCATGGATGGATCCTCCATGGCTCAGCAAAGCTCTAACCAAGACCCAAACTCCCAACAACCTCAACATAATCAGCAGCGTCAGGGCGCTTCTAGTGCTACATCTTTGCCCACATCTAGAGTGGGTCAGGTTCAGCTGCCTAATGGTCAAGGCCTTAGGGTTCCAGGATCATTCATCCAGGATCCTGTTGCTTTGTCGCATATGCAAAAGAAACCGCGGCTGGACATCAAGCAGGAAGATATTCTACAGCAGCAAGTTCTGCAACAGTTGTTGCAAAGACAAGATCCTTTGCACATGCAGAACTCCAATCCTCAGTTACAAGCCTTGATTCAGCAGCAGAGGCTGAGGCAACAGCAGCAACAACAGCATCAGTTGTTGCAGTATCTGCCACCGCTGCAGAGAGCCCAACTACTGCAGCAACAGCAGCAGCTGCAGCTAAGGCAACAACTTCAACAACAAAGCGTGCAGCCTGTATCAGCCATGAAGCGCCCATCTGATGGTGTCTTGTGCTCTAGACGGTTAATGCAATACTTGTATCATCAGAGGCAACGACCTCCTGTGAGTGACATTGTTTCTAGTTGTGATGAATGGCCCATATAGACAAGTTCATGTGTCTCATTTCTATTTGATTTACTTTGTCTAATAGGATAACTCTATTGCCTATTGGAGAAAGTTTGTGGCTGAGTATTATTCCCCACGGGCAAAGAAGAGATGGTGCTTGTCATTATACGAGAATGTTGGGCATCATTCACTTGGCGTGTTTCCACAATCAACCATGGTAATATTTATTATCATGGATTTTCTATTTAAATTTAAATTAGTTTCTTCTTTCTCAGGCCTAAAGTTAGGAATAGTTCTACGACCACTGCTATCAGTCAGTGCTCGTTTTGTTCAACCTCATGCGCTATGCTGAATGCTTAGTTCAGAGAGACTATTGTATGATCATATGCTTGGTGTTGTCTATTTTCTTCTGGTGATATTCTCCTGCTTGCTTGATATAATATGGCTCTGTGGTCTTCCATAACTTTAATTCATTCTCTCCTTAAACTAATTCCATAAGCGACATTCTAATTTTTTGACTCTTTTCCTTTTTTTGGCACCAGGATGCATGGCATTGTGATATTTGTGGCTCAAAATCAGGCAGAGGATTTGGTAAGTGGAAGTTGTCAAATAGTAGTCATTGATTTGCAGCTGACACATCACTATAAGTGGTTTAAGGTTATGTCTAGTTCTAGATACTGCAATTCTATAACTCGTGTAGTATCAACTTAACTTATAGCGCAGCTTGATACATAAGAGTTACACCATTTTTCACAATAGGAGATGCGATTGCCTTTGCGTTGAACTCGATAACATCTACTTGAAAGACTAGAGTAAGTATGGGTAGGGTTGGTGAATATGATTTTGTATGCGTGGAAGGTCAAATTTCAACTTTTATCAGGCACTCTATCTGCATAAATACACTATATTGTCTAGTTTCACCTCATTAGGCCATAGTGAAAGTTGGTGCAGTCTTTCTTGGATCCAAGGAACTGTTGGGAAAGAACATAATTGATTCAAGGTTCAACTTACCTCTTCCAAGAAGGGTAGAGTTCTTGAAGGAATTAACATTTGGACCACAATAGATGGAGCTGTCTAAACGTGACATTCAGAAAAATCATAGATGGCCTTGCATGAACCTGAATGTTGCTAGTAAAACATATACAAGTGCTTATCAAATTAAAAAATTAATAAGTTCCTAACCTGGGACTTAAGTGCCAATGTCCCTTGAGGATTCAACTCCTCACCCCCCCCCCCCCAAAAAAAAAAAACAGAAAAAAGAAAAAAAAGTGTAAACCTGTATTGTTAGAATAGAGGGTATTATGGGTTACCAGAAATTCAAGCTGTCATCAACTGAAAAATGAGCACCTGAGATTTAAATTGTGGAGTAGTAAGTATTTGGTTATTGTCACTTTACCCCCTCCAAAAAAAATTAGAAGAAAGAAAAAAGGTGTAAACCTGTATCTGAAGTCCTAAGATGCTCATTTGTCCAGTAATGACTTGGTGATTTAGAAAACCGCTAGAGTTGTCGGTAGAGGGTGCTCTTATTGTTTGCTTTGGAAGAGGAAATACGCGATCTTATTTATACATTTATTCGTGGCTCATGGGATCGCCCTATGAGATATCCATTTCTAGTCACATTTGGTTATCTATGACATATCCATTTCTAGTCACATTTGGTTATCTGTGTCACATCAAAATGTGAAGTATGTCAAGTGGCCACAGTTCCAACTCTTGCTTCCTTTGTGCCCTCAGTCGTCAGAATATGCCAAAACTAATAATTATGCAGCCTCAAAGGCGCTAAGACATCTGAGTCAGCATCCATGTGCTATGTTTCGAAGAGACAACAAATATGGGCGGAAAAGTGATATATAAGGCGTTATAGGGGAATATGTTACTGATCAGGAAAAGAAAATTAGATATTTAGTACGATGAAATTAGTCATTCTATCTGATTTAGAAACTTCTGTGCATCTTTCCATGTGAAATAGAGTTTTAAAATGAAGAACTTAATTAACGTGGTTCTTACTTCTTATGTTTCTTTTAATGCAGTTTTCTCAACCCCTTTCTCCATGTAATTGTTATTTGTGTTTATAGTTATCTTTTCTTTGCATTACATGTGTGGTTTTATTTGTTCTTTATCAGCTTTCTTCACTCACTTTAATTGCTCCGGTTAAAGTCCCTGGAGACATTTTCTTTTCTGATCTTTTTTGCTTCTACAGCTGAGTCTAAACATGCTTGGCATTAGAAGCATCTGCTTCATAAAAGTTTGCGAGAGCAAGATAGGAGTAGTTATTATTTACTTAGCTAATACTGGAGGTAGAACTGTAGAAGACTGGGATTTTGAAAAGACGTCATTCAGGTTTTTCGTATTCATAGTAGAAGTTTTCATCTGCGGAGTTTTAGCAGACTCTGCAGGAAATATAAGGAGATGAGGAGATAGTTGATGTGTTAACAATACACTATTGCCAGACCTGCCCCCACTTTCATCCCTCCATGGGAAAAAAGTCAACGAAAGAAAAATAATGCACCTAAAAACTCTTGGACAAAGCACGAGCTTGCACGGGAAGAATCTGAGAGATGATGCATAAGACCTGTCTACCTGATATCTGAATTTGTGTCAGCATATATTGCAGTGATTAGGGTCTTCATCTCATAATCATGATCACTACCAAATAATTGATCTGCTTGTTTCTGACTAGCTTCTTGCTCTTGGTGGTTTTTAACAGAGGCAACTTTCGAAGTTCTTCCCAGGCTGAACGAAATCAAATTTAGCAGTGGGGTCATCGATGAACTCTTGTTTTTGGATTTTCCGCGTGAATGCAGGTTCCCCTCAGGATTAATGATGTTGGAATATGCGAAAGCAGTTCAGGAAAGTGTATATGAACAACTTCGTGTGGTTCGAGAGGGTCAACTCCGAATCATTTTTACCTCTGATTTGAAGGTACCGTAAAAAATGATCAGCTGTGAGGGGCATAATTTGTTTAAGTCGTCTATAGCTTTGCTTTTTCTGCTTCTCCTCAGATATTGTCATGGGAATTTTGTGCTCGGCGCCATGAAGAGCTTCTTCCTCGGAGATTAGTTGCACCACAGGTATTGAGCTAAATTAAAATTTCCACTTGCTCCAGTGGTTCTTTCAGTTACATGAACTTGGATCATCCTTAAGATACAGCTTGGCATTCTTTTTAACGTTTAGTATTGTTCACTCCGTCTGACCTATAGGTCATGGGTTCGAGCCGTGGAATCAGCCGGTGATCCATGCATCAGGCTAGGCTGCCTACATCATATCCCTTGGGGTGTGGCACTTCCTCGGGCCCTGCGTGAATGTAGGATACTTGGTGCACTGAGCTGCCCTTTTCTATTGTTAACTCATTAAGATAGTGAAGGAGTCATCAATGTTTGGAGAATTCCTCAATTTCGTTTATATGACCACCTCCGCGCTGTTTCTTGGATATAAGGCTCATGCAACTAATTACTAATGTATAGGACACATGTAATCTGTTCAACTGTTGTGTTCTGTCACCACTGATTTGATTCAACTGGGCTGCCAGTGGCCACCCTCTTTGCTGGAGGGTCTGGATATTCTCTTTGGAACAAAAGAGAAGTCTAATTGACCCTAGCTCCACCAGTTGTGCCAACCTAACCAACGCACTTAACGATTCCCTTTCAACTTCGTCCTGGCGACTCACCTGATAATGAATGAAGAGCAATTTCCGTGTTTACCACTTGTCCTCATAGAATTTTTGTTTGCAGGTGAATCAATTGCTGCAGGTTGCTCAGAAATGCCAAACTACATTAACAGAAACTGGACCTGATGGGGTTTCTCAGCAGGATTTGCAAGCAAACAGCAACATGTGAGTCGAAAGCTATTCGTCTGCATTTATCCACCCCCCCCCCCCCCCCCCTCTTTTCCCACCACATGAAAGGCTACTTGTCTGATTTCATGCTACTTTCTCAGGATGTAATTCATTTTGTTTCTCCTCCCATTTTAGCCTGATCTCCAGTTTCTCTCCATCTACTAAGTTGTGTGTAGGAATCGACCTTTTACTGAGAGTAGTGTCTGTTACTGTGTTTATTCGGCAGTCCGACTTAGGTGTACCTTATCCAAAATAATAAATCCACTTCCGATATCCCCCACACCCACACACATACACCAGTGTACTCTTGTAACAACGCTCTTTTACTGCTAATAACTGAGATATGCACCTAAAAGAGAAGTTTGGTTGATTTTAAAGTTATAGAGAACCGACGAGGATTTATTCGGAACTACATGCTTCCGTTATGTTTGATTCTTTTTTGTTCCCAGGTGTTCAGAGTGGTAAAAGCACTTCTAACCTTGGGGGATAGACTTCTCACTAAGTTTGGGAGATGTCTTGTCTCTTATGTCTTGCAATTGGTTTGAAATATAATCTCATGTCACGTTGTTGATACTTTTCTTAGGGTTGTCACAACTGGACGTCAACTTGCCAAGAGTTTGGAGTTGCAGTCACTTAATGATTTGGGATTTTCCAAGAGATACGTGAGATGCCTACAGGTATATTTGAATGAGTATGGGATGAGAAAAGATAGACTTCTTGGGGAAGAAAACACGACACAAGAATTTTTCTCTCTCTTTCATGTGTAATCAAAGCATTGGCTTTGCTTATCTGGCTTTCTAATGCTTTAGTACTTGAATTGGATATGATGTTCAGATAGCTGAGGTCGTGAATAGCATGAAGGACTTGATGGATTTTTGCAGAGATCATAAAGCTGGTCCAATTGGTTTGTTTTCTACATTTGTTTGGAACTAAAACTGAAAATACTCATCTTTTGTCATTACCATCTGTACCATGATAGATTGTAATTTTAGAGGGTCTTTTGCATGTTGGGAGAACGCTAAAACTGGGACATCACTTCTCTGCTTGTTTTGCAGAGGGCTTGAAAAATTTCCCACGACATGGTACTGCAGCCAAATTTCAGGCACAAAATGCACAGGAAACAGAGCAGCAGGTGGGTATTCAGGGTCTGCCAACTGATCGCAGTGCGTTGAACAAGCTTATGTCATTGCACCCTGGGATGAATAGCCAAATGAGCAATAACCAGCACATGGGTGGTCGGGGAACTTTAAGCGGCTCTGCACAAGCTGCTCTTCAGCTCACAAACTTCCAAAATTCGCTAATCCGGCAAAATTCAATGAATTCAAACTCAAATACAACCCAACAAGATGTTTCTCCTGCTTTCAATTATTCGAACCACTCTCAATCTTCACTTTTGCAAGGGCCAAATGGTATATTGCCAGGGACAATGCAGAACTTACCTGTCAGTGGCTTGTCAAGTACCAATCTGCAGCAACAACAGCAGCGATTACTGAATAGTGGCTTACTCCCACAAAATCAATCTCAACCGTCGCATGGAAGCCAGGTCCTACAGCAACAAATGATCCAGCAGCTCCTCCAGGACATGAATGCTAACAGCGGTGGGTGTGGAGTTCAACAGCAGTGCCTTGCTGGACAGAGTGGAGGTGCTAGTGCTTCTAGGGAAGGGCTTGCATTTGGAAACAATAGTTCTGTGGTTGCTGCAACAGCTACACATGGGCCGGGAAGCAGTGTTGGACCCACACCAAGTAGAAGCAACAGTTTTAAATCGGCTTCAAACTGTGAATGGGCTGGCAACAGTGCTTTCAGTCAAAAAGCTTCAGATTTGCCTGCGAGTCTGCATTTATCAGATGAGATGGTCCCAGATATGACACATGAATTCAGTGAAAATGGTTTCTTTAGCAGTGATCTTGACAACAATATGAATTATGGATGGAAGGCTTGACTGACATGTTTTGCTCCTTTGGTTTTGATGAGAAAATGATACTGCTATATATCTTTGTACAGGTTGATTGTGTTAGGTTTTTTGTTTTCTTCTGATTCTCTTCCCTATTTTGTAGTTTGAGGCTGTTGTGGTGTTAAGCACTTGCCCTCTTTAGGTATTTAGGTCTACTTTCTTTACCTTTCACACACTCTTGGTGTTTACACCTCGAAAACCATCCACAAGTGTAATCTATAGAAATGGACTGGAGAACATTATTAACTGCTATTACTATTCTGTTTCAGTTCGTTTGCCCTTCTGGCCCTTCATGTATGTGAATCCGTGTTTTAATGGTTACTGAATAGAGGATGTAAATGACTAAAGTAAGTTTGTAGGGAGGTCGTGCATGTTTCCTGTCAGGCAAGTTCATGGGGAGCATGAAACTTGCAAGATTTTGAGGCGTCATGTCTTTGAGTAATTTCTGGCTTTCTGTTTCTTGTTTCTTTCACTCTAACTGATGCCAATCAAAACTCTCTATTTTGATTCATGCCCTTTCATACAAGATTTCGAGGCCTAATGTCTAGAGTAGTTTCTGGTTTTCTGTTTCTTCAAAACGAAATCGATGCTGATTTAGTGATAACTTTGACTTTCCTTACCCTTTAACGTAATGGACCAATTCCCCCGCCACCCCGACCCCCCTTTATTTTCTGGTGTCGCACGGAAAACAATAATTTCGACTTCCTTACAAATCATCTTCTATAGCTTTTCAGAAGTTTCAGGTCAAAGAAGAGTTTAGAGAAATTGCGACTCCATTAAGGCAAGTAACAAATATTCAGATCTTTTGGTTGCTGTTCAAAATCCTACGCACTGCCTTTCACCGAGACTCTTCAAGCAGAACAATTATCGCTGTATCCACTTTTACCGGCCTTTTCTTTTGGATTTTAAATTGGCAATTTGTAACTGAATCATAATAGAAAGAAAGATTACAAGAATCTCTCGTTGGCGCAAGGCCAAGCACTGTTATGGTTGTAACTTGTAAGCAAGAAAGCTAACCAGCCCAACACTCAGGTGAATAATTATTTTACAGAGCAGCAAAGAAAGGTAAGATCTATACACTCAATCTGTCATTCCCAACTGCTTAAGACTTAAAAAAGGCCACCCAATTCCTCATCTGAATCATCATCAACCACGACAGCTCCAGCTCCTAGTAGTGTATTCAGGATCATTTGCTCCCATCCCCTTAAGTTTGAACCAAAACTACGAAGCCTAGGACTACTTGACTCTCCTTCAGAAAATTTAGTACGTGATTGGCACAAGTTCTCTTTTGGGTAATATTTCAGGTTCCACTTTCCGGATTCATCGAGTATCTCAACATCAAATGCTGGCAAAAGTGGTCTTCCAACAACTTGAACGTGCGACACACTATAAAAAAGGGAATTAACAAAGATAATCTTAGAAATCCCGAAGTCATGAGATTATATTCATGCCCTTTAAAATGCATGTCCTCATTTAGATATACGACAACTATATGGTAGACTACGACTGCAGTAAAAGCAGGAAATAAAAGACGTTTTGAATTTTGAGGCCAAGAAACCAAAAGAAGGAACTGACCAAATATAATATTGACCATCCATCTCTTGTCTTTGAACTCTGCCTAAGAGCTCTACTTGTAGGACTCCACCAATGCAAAGAACAGGTTCTGGCAGCTTAAACTTCTGCAAGCTGTTCTCCTGTAACCGTAAGAAGAAAACTTAGCTGTTCCAAAGTCAAGACACACAAAAAAAAATCCTAACCAAAACTGAGCTGCAGCTGAAGTCGAGTTTAAATTGTTTTCTTTTGTCAGAGAGAGAAGAAGATCAGTTCATGAATGAGCACCTAACAGCTGTGTTAAAATGAGTGATATACTTCTGCCAAGTACATGTTCCGACACAAGTAAGACCAGCAAATAGGCTTAGTTAGGGAAAACCAGTCCTATGACTTGGGAACTAGCTATTATCCCAAGAGTAGATGTCAGCCTAGAGTATCCATTTGATCGCTTCGCGGATAAGAACTATCCAGAATAAAAGAAACTGAAATACTGTTACTGTTTCGCACCTGCTCCATGGGAAATGCTGGTGAGGTATATGTCCATACGATCTTGTCCAACAAAGATCCTTGAGCAGCCGCAGATTCATGTCCGTTGTCACTTTCTACATCTATTTTAACATTAGAATGTCCCACTCTGAATCTCACAGCTTTTGCTGAATAAATGGGAAATCCAAACTGGAAATACGCTGTTACAAGATCATAATATTTCTAGTTAATGAGAAAAAACAAATAAGCTGAACGAACAAATCCATAACATCACAGAAGATAAAAACTTGAGGTGCAACCTTGAAATGGTTGTACATGAAATTCTGAAATCAAGCACAACTTTGAGATTAATTTATATGTTAGTGTCTCAGGAACAGTAGGATCACTTTCTCCTCTACTTGACCAGTATGAAGCCCTGCGGCCAACCCGATCACTCGGTTCTAATGTATTCAGAATGCTTTCTTCAGGATAGTTATCGGTGCTTGATGCAAGGATTGCATCTATTAAGCAATCTTTCCTCGTACAGTTGGAAAGGCCTTGTGCCATAAATGCATAAACTCTGTGATCCCACTCCAGAGATGACCACTCCGAAGATTTTTCAGGCTGAGATACCACTGGTACAATCGTGTTTTTAACTTCAGTCATATTTGCAACACTTGATATGTCAGGAAATCTCCTTAAGCAGAGATGCTTACACAATCCATTTCCAATCACTGCACAAGATAAAGGATGACAAAGACATAGAAACCCTGATTTTTCTGTTTCAGCAAATTAAGAAACTCTTGCATAATAATATACTCATACCATTCTTTTAACAGCATAAGGCACTAAGCATTAAATGTTGATGAAAATGGCGGTAAATAAACTACGTAAAAAGATACAAGTCCTCATCCATAGAAATAACAGCACCTCTATTTGGCTATCTATTTAGAATGGAAGGGAAGGGAATGGAACTGCATTTTATATTATGACAGCCAATTTCAAGAAACCATTTGACAGCCATGTGTGTGATATGATGGACAAATATAAAACCCAGCGCCCAACAAGTATAATAAGCGAAGTCCCAATTCTTTGAATTTTATTCCATTTGATTCAAGCCGAGACAAATGGAATTACAGCTAGCACAAAGAAGCTTATGAAACAGAACAACAACAACAACAACTACTACTATATATGCCTCAGTCCCAAATGTGAAGACCATGCTTTTTCTTTTAAGCTCAACTCATAACATACAAGCTTATGATAGAGTAAAATCATAAAATTGGAGTTTACCGAATTGGCGCCAAGAAGTAGAAACAGCAGAAACCCGAACAAGATCAGAGGGATCCTCCAAACACATTAGGATCTTTATAGACATATCAGGTAGAAACCATTGCACAAAATCCCCACATCTCTCCATTTCAATCTTTATATCACTCTAAGTCACCTATCAAACACAACAATAACAACACAAACTTACAACTAATTTGATGCAGTCAGTCAAAACATACTACTATTACTCAAAAATATCTCTAAGGTTGAATTCAGAATTCTAATCCAAAATACCAAATAGACAGATAATTCAGGCTCTTGGGTCAATTGGGTTCCAAACAAGACCCATAATTAAGTTACAAAACCTATCCATTAAGAAAGGAACAGATTTTATAACAGGACAAAAAGAAAAAGGGTAGTGAAGAAAGGAATTTACCTTTTGCAAGAAGTAAACAATAGGATAAAGAAAATGAAAACGAGAAAGAGAAGGGAGTTTGATTAATGGGTGGTGGCAGAAACCGCACCAACCGACAGCCACAGCTTTAGATCAAATTCTAAAGGGAAAGTAATTAAAACTAAAAAGGATATTAGTAGTATATACAAAGTCAAGACTCAAATGTCATTATTGATTGATTACAGGCCAATAATTAAGATTATTTATGTCTTTACATTAGAGAACGATAGTAATTAATACTAGAACCTGGTAGAATGTGGACTATTTCTGAAACAGAGAGGATAACACGATAGATACCGGAGGAAAGGTAAAGTCGATAAGGACAAGTTTTATCGTACACTGTCATTTTCTGGTGCACGTGTCAAGTTTGCCCTTAACGTTGGTTACCGTATAGAGAGATTGAACAGTGTTTGAAACATGGTTGACCCTCCATTTTATGCTCCTTTCTTTCTGGATTTACCGATCCAAGAAACGTGCTTATGGTTATACATGTTAAGTTTCATAAGTTGTTGTTGGGTTAAAAATTATATTGAACTGATACTTAAAACATGTAAAGCTGTAACTTATTCTATCATACATACAAATCTTATTTTGCTCTTTTGGTTAAAAGTTAAAAGGCTCTTTCTCAAAAAATAATTGTCGTGTTCTCTACTTTTTTAGGAGTAAATTGCTTACATCATCGCTCAATTACCTAAATTATGGATTAAAGTGACATTTTTTTCCTTTGTGAAAGTCACTTGGCTAATTCCTATTACACATAAATGGTCACTCATTGAGTTATAAAAAATTTTGGTATAAAAATATGATGTGGCAGTTCACATAAACGCTTTATATTTTTAGACCAAATAAAATAATTAACACTCAAACAAAACATAGAAAATTCACTCATACATTAATATTGTGCTTAAAAAATATATATTTGTATGGATATCACCTCATATCTTGCTTTTGTTTCGTGGATTTAGGATGTGAGATGTGTTGATTTATGTTAATTTGATGTGTTTTTATGTGTAGGAATGATCCGGGAGTAATCGGGGGCGATATGTGTGAAATTAGAGCCAAAACGGACAAAAACAGGAAAGTTGGATATTTCAGCGCCACAGGTGGCGCCTAGCCCTACCTGTGGCGCCAAAAACAGTAGCTAAAATTTGGCAGCGCCGTGGAGGGCGCCTGGCGCTAGCCAGGGCGCCAGTGACAGAAATTTTCTCCAATTTCGCCCGGGACAAGGTTATTTCGGCCCTAGACCTACCCAACACGTATAAAAGCAAGACTAAACCTATTTTTGAGGGAGAGATGCCACTTTTGGAGAAAAAACACACACAGGATCGTGAGGAAGCAGAGAATTCTCAGTTTTCTTCATCTTTTCTAGTATTTTCAATTATTCAAAACTTATGCAATTGTTTGATTACATCATGAGTGGCTAAAAACCCATTGTTCTGGGAATGTGATGTGGCCATGAATATTGTTGTTTAATGTTGACTTAAACTCGATTATAATTCACTAATAAATGGTTGTTTCTTCAATTCTGTGATTAATTGCTTAATTGTCTGGCCAACAGTTATGTTCTATTCACTATC